TCAGTTAGCACATACTTATAGCTTTCAGCAGTCAGCACTATGTCTAAGTTCCTTTTTCAATCAATGTAATTAGGATCGGTGAGTTGATTTTCTTTTAGGATAATAGACAACGGATTGAACGACATGATGAATAAACCTGGGAATTACGAAAATATTTTACTGATTAAACATTTTGAATTTAACTGTTAATATTGACATCCTCAAAACAATACTAACTTAAATTCACCGACATCTTTAAACCTTGAGAATTTAGTATGATGCTCGGACAACTCTACTAATTCTTCGTTTCTTTAAAGAAGGGTTTTTCCAGAACCCATTAATTTTCATTAGTCAAAACAATTTTCATGACGAACGAAATTAATAATCGGTCACCTTTTGGCCATGCAATAAAAATCAGGGACCCCTCGGGGGGTTATGAAATGAATCGCATTCTAAGTGAATCTCATTTCTCGGTCCTAAGGTCGTCAAAATTGATTATACGTTCACCTCGGGGTGACCCGTACGCTCTCATTCGATTTCCTCTAACCGTCTAAATTTAGAAATTCGTTCTGATAATTATCCTTCAATTAATTTTCAAGTAATGTCATCCTCAGGGAAGCCCACACAATCAATTAATTGATCTACCAACGAATTATAAATGGAGGCCTTAGGAATTTAAAATTATCTTAACTTTAAATATCCTTCTCAACTTAGTATTTTAAATGAGAATTTTAATATATATATATATGCAATTCTAAATAATTCTATGCACACAAGGCAACAATTATTCCCATGCATAAATAAACAAATAAATAATTAATGCAATAAATAAATATCCACTATTATGGCCAATTAAATATTTATTCTCCTTGGATTAGGATTTCTGTCCTAAACCAACTGGAACTCCCACTTCAGTAGAATCCCGGTTGACTTGTACTGCAAGTTCCACAAAACCTCCACCAGTAGAAGCCGCGGCCGCGCCGGCCTGCCTTGGCTTCCGGCTCCAGTTTCTTCCTTACTTTGTCGAGTCTCTTTGGATCTTTGTGAAGGCCCGGTCTCCAACAGTCGATAACAATTCGAAAAATATAATTTACAAAATTACATAAATCGATTCATAGATCCAACGAGTGGATGTACATGTTTTCTACTAATTAATTAAACTATCCGGTCAACCCCCGGGCAATTAATACAAGCATTCATCCATAATTCCTCGACAATCCCGAGACTTTAAAAACAAATTTAAAACCATACAACCAACCATTAATTAAGCACAAGCACATAAAAGGGTGGTCATAATAGTGGATTAACTACTTTCTGCAAAACCAAGTTATGCATATAGTCCAATATATATGGCTGCGCTTGAGCACACATAGACAATATAAGCAGTTTAATCTG